CTGAGCTAACAAGGAGTATTTCCTTGAGGTGTGTGGAGGGCTTTGGGGCCTGGCTGGGGGAAGGGTTACCTGTCCATCCTTGCCCTTGGCTTTGGGGCACACCACGGCCCAGCCCACGCTGCTGTGTCCCCAGAGCCCTGCCAGCGTGTCCCTTCCCGTGTCACCCAGGGCTGCCCCAGCTCGGGCTCTGGCTCTCCTGAAAGCATCCCCAGCACCGTGGGGATGGGTCCCACCAGGAGGAGCACATCTGCTCCTTGGGCTGTTCCTCACCTGAAATCTGGGTCACATCGCAGCCGTGCTGACAAAACACCTCTGCCACGACTTGTCTGAAAGCAAACTGAGCAAAATACCTGCTCCTGCTTCCCGTGGCCTGCCTGCTGATCCAGCAAGGGCTGAAAGGAGCACAACATCTCAGCTGGGAGGTGTGTGTCAGCTGGGCTGCCAGGGCACAGGGACACACTGACCCTCAATTTCAAACCCCTCAGTGTCACAGCTGGTAAACGTGGGGACAGGTCACAGCTTTGTGCAGTTGGTCACGTCTCCATCTCTGTTTACACCATGCACTGATGCTCTTGCTCAAAATTTAAAAAATGTTAAAAAATTGTTTACTTTCTTGGCTCTGCATAAAAAATGTTTCAAGAAAAACCCCAGATAAAGAAATAGAAGTTTTTCACGTCCCGAGTTGCTGTCACCAAAGTCACACTCTGGACATACTCAAGTTGTCTGAATGCTCTGGAGCTGCTGTGGTGTGGAGGTTTGGGATGGATTGATTTCTGTGGTGGCAGTTCAGTGTTATTCCTGAGTGCCAAACTGAATGGAGAGATTGTTCAACACCAGAGTTTTGAATTTTCTTGTCACTTATCTCTGCCTATTGTTCTTCACCATTGTTCTTACACCATCTTCAACCTTTCCTGTATCAGAAAGCCCTAAACCCTGTAATTAGATGTGCCTCACCTAATTTTCCTTTTAATAGTTTGGGGGAAAGCAGGGAAAACAGCAGTGTCATACGTGGTGGGAAATAAACCATCCCTAAGTGCAGATTCCGTGGAGGTGTGCTCTCCGTTTGAAATGTGAGTCATTCACAGGAATTTCTTTCCTGTAAGTACAGTGTACCTGGGCCTTGGAATAACAACAGTATTCTCAAGGCAGGGAGCCTGACACTTGGTGTGTGTGGACTCAGGAAAATGGAATTTATTGCAGCCATAGCTCCTTCAGCGGCTGCTTTTTAAGAGCTCCTACATTTTGTTTTCCTGTCCCACAAATTACTGAGTGGGTATTCCTTCTAGTCCTTCTTTGCCATGTGATTCTCTCATGAAGAACAAGGTTTTTCCCTTTTTCCCCCCCACTCTTCCTGGGTTTATTGTAAGTGTAAAAGTAATTGGAGAGAGAAGGGGTTTTGGGAGCTGATTTCCCTGGCACAGGTGAGGTGGCAGTGCCAGCCCGGGCTCAGGTCCTTGGTCACCCGTCAGGGATGGCACGTGCTGGGGAAATCCAAATCCTGCAGGTCTGAGGAAGGAAATTCTCCTACATGTTTAGACTTGGTTATTTTGACTGTGTTAAGTTTTGTAGCCTGGTTCAGGAAAGAACCACGACTATAATTCAATAAAAACTCTCCTCCCAGGTGGATCCAGCGCTAGGAAAGCAAACTCCTGTCTCTGAGAGGATTGTAGGTACCTGTTGTTAAGTCCATTAGAGATATTTATAACCCCAGGCTTGATACCCAGCCTGTGCAGTGAGCCAGAGGAGTCCCTGGCAGGGCTGCACTGAGGAGCTGAGTGTTTCCCTGCTGCACAAATGTGTACTCACCATTGGCACACGTTAAATAGGCTCATCTTTTGTCACTGATATTGTTTCAGTTCTAGAAAAATCAGGCAACTTAAACTACAGCAAAATTGAAGTAATATTTTCATTCCCACATTGGAATTTCACTAGTGTCTGTCTCCTTTCTGTGTTTTACAGCTTTAATTCCTTTTTACACACATTTGTTTTGTGTTGTCAGTACAGCAGTGTGGGCACAGGCCCAGGGCAGTGCCCGTCCCCTGTGCTGGCACTGCTGGGGCACCTCCAGTGCTGGGGGCCAAAAAGAGAGACCTGGAGGGGCTGGAGCATGTCCAGGGCAGGGAACGGAGCTGGGAAGGGAATGGAGCCCCAGGAGGGGCTGAGGGAGCTGGGAAGGGGCTGGAGAATCCCTGAGGGAGCTGGGAAGGGGCTCAGCCTGGAGCAAAGGAGGCTCAGGGGGCTCTGCACAGCTCCTGACAGGAGGGGACAGCCGGGGGAAACAGGGCTGGGAACAGGGAACAGGAGGAGAGGGAATGGCCCCAGGCTGGGCCAGGGGAGCCTCAGGGTGGATATCAAGGAGAATTTCCTCACTGGGAGTTCTGCAGCCCTGCACAGCTGCCCAGGCAGTGCTGGGGTGAGTCCCCATCCCTGGAGGGGTTTAACAGCCCTGTGGATGTGGCACCTGGGGACACGGGCTGTGGTGGCCTTGCAGTACCAGGGGTGGTTGTACTCGGTGTTGTCAGTGCTCTTGTCCAAGCTCGTGGTTCCGTGGCATCACTGGCAGGTCACAGAGGCCAGCTGGGTGTGCCTGTTCCGTGTGCCACAGCCCCACACACACTGCCCACCTCTCTGCAGGCTGTGGGGCTTCTCCTGAGCTCAGGGCTCCAGCACAGGGAGTGCTCTGGGAACGGAGCTGCCGGGACTGCCTGCTGCCCTCCTGCTGTCCTGGCACTGTCCTGTCCAGCTGTCCCCACGGGCTGTGTGATGTCCAGCTGTGTCACTGACACTCCGTTGCATTGCTCACATGCCCACTGGCTCCCCTTATAAACTGATTGGATGGTATAAAAATGAAGGAATTTCCCCCGTTATCTCTGTGAGCTGCTCGGGTCTCTGAGGAGGAGACAAGATCTGGAGTAAGTGTGGGAAAGAAATGAGGAGGGAGCAGGAGCAAGGCCACTGAGGTGCTGGAGCGTGTCCAGACAGGGGCAACAGAGCTGGGGAAGGGTCTGGAGCATAAATCCTGTGAGGAGCTTCTGAGGGAGCTGGGAAGGGCTCAGCCTGGAGAAAAGGAGGCTCAGGGGGGAATTCTGGCTCTGCACAGCTCCTGCCAGGAGGGGACAGCCAGGGGGTCAGGCTGGGAACAGGGACAGGAGCAGAGGGAATGGCCCAGGCTGGGCCAGGGGAGCTCAGGGTGGATATTAAGGAAAATTTCATCATGGAAAGAGCTGTCCAGCTGTGGCACAGCTGCCCAGGGCAGGGTTGGGGAGCCTGTTGCTGGAGAGATTTACCAGCCCTGTGGATGTGGCCCCTGGGGATGGGGACAGTGGACTGAGCTGACCACTGATGGAAGTGCTGAGCAGGGACCTGTGGAAAAGACCCCCCGTGTTTGCTGGCAGTTACAGTGACTATTCCATTAGTAACTCTGTGTAACACCGCGTTTCACCCTCGGCAGTACCCACAGAGCGCTTTCCTGACAGCAGTGTCAGTACAGGGTCATTCCTCGTTAGCTGCAGCACCTTTGTGTGAGGCTGAGGTTTGCCTGGGAACAGACCCAGCTGTGTAACAGGTTTTCAGAAACATTATCAGTATTTCCCTGTCTGTGACTCATCCCAGTGCCACCATTGCCTTTTCCTAAGCAACATACCTGTTGTGACATTACTTACATGTTAAATGTTGCAGATTGTTTATTCTGTCTCTGCAGCAATCAGAGCCGCACTAAATGGACTCCAGAAAGGCAACTTACATGTTAAATGCTATATTTATTCTGTCTATGCAGCTAGCAGATCTACACTAAATGGACTCCAGAAAGGCAGGCACCGATTCCTGTAGTGATAAGCATACAATTTTCTTTAAAAACCTGGGTTTTGTCATGATTTCAGCTAGGAAAGGCAAATTACTTTATTTCCAGCATTTCTGTGCATTGCACCTCAGACGGATTTCTTGCTACTTCATTTTTCTGCTCCTGATCCATCATAAGGATGATTTTAAGCAGGAGGAGTCCCCCTCAAACCAGCCCAGCTCCAGGCAACTGCAGAGGGCACGTCCCCAGCCCAGAGAGCAGTGACATTGAGGCTCAGTGTGACAATACCAGCAGCCCACTTGGAGGCTGGAGATAAATGGGATGCATTCCCTGGAATGGCTTTTTACTCTGCTTTAATAGACAGTGCCCTTGCCTGAGTGCTCCCAAGGTCTGTGTGATTCCCAGCCTCAGCTGTACTGAAGCTCAGTTTGGGTTCCTTTGCAGAGCTGCTCTGTCCTCACCCACTCCGAGTGCCCAGGCTCGTGATTCCTTCTGGGAGCACTCGACAGGAATTTAGATTTGTGCCTCATCTCAAGTTTAATGTGGAGACTTGGAAGTGTTTTGAGGAACAGAGAGAGGAAAGAACTTCCTGGGTCACAGAGTCCAGTCATTTGGGGCTGGAGACAGCAGGCACCCCACAATCGGTGCTTTCATCAGGGCAGGTGACACCCTGCTGGTTGACAGGCTGTGATTGTTCTCAGGCTGGGCTCATGGCCTGAGAGGTGCTTTCCACCCCCGACTGCTCTGTCATTCTGAGCAGGTCATGTCAGGGTTTCCAGCCTGCCCCGGCGGGAGGGTTGTGCCAGCTCAGTGATGTCCTGGGTGCTGTGCCAGCTCAGTGATGTCCTGGGTGCTGTACCAGGGCTGTCCCAGCTCAGTGATGTGCTGGGTGTTGTGTCTGTGGATGTGCTGGATGCTGTACCAGGGCTGTGCCAAGCTCATGGATGTCCTGGGTGCTGTGCCAGGGTTGTTCCTGGTTCATTGATGTGCTGGGTGCTGTACCAGGGCTATACCAGTGCTCATTGATGTACTGGGTGCTGTGCCCATGGATGTGCTGGGTCTGTGCCCGTGGCAGAGCCCACAGTTTGTTCTCCTGGCAGCGTGGTGCCCTCCCTGAGCACACAGCCCTGTGCTGGAGCACCACCAGCCTCACATCACCCTTCAGATTCAGGAGCTGCAGCTTTGCCACGTTTCTCAGTGAGGGATCACTGCTTTTCCCTTTGCAGCTTTCCATGCGGTACCCATGAAGATGAGGCTGAGGACACGGAAGGCTTCCCAGCAGTCCAACCAGCTCCACACGCAGCGGGCGCTGCGGGCCAAGCGGAAACACTCGGAGGTGGAGGAGCCCTTACCTGGCGGCGGGGGAAAGCCACCCAAAAATGAGACAGGCCTCTTGTCTTCGATCAAAAAGTTCATTAAAGGAAGCACACCCAAGGTACGCCGCCTGCAGGCCCCTGCTTTGCTTGCAAGTGGGTCGTAATCACTTCAGGTTTGATTGAAAACCAGTTCTGTTAAGAATTAATTGTGTGGTGGAAGCAAAATGTAAAGAGTTGGAAGGCAACAGGTGCCTGTGAGTTGTGTCAGGTAAAGCAGACTTTGAAACCTTCAGGAGTCAATTGTAGGTGTATTTAACAGTCCAATAAATCACAGGCTTTATTGCCTGGTGTTTCTTCTTGAAACTGTCACATAAATTCAGTACATTCTTAATATCTGTGTTAAGGATTCCTTGGATCCATATTCAAGGAATTACCAGTACTAACAACTTAGAAAAGCCAGTCTGTAAGCATGATTTTCTTGACTATTTCTGGCAATTTTATTCAAAATTGTTCAAGAGTCATTTAATCAATGAAGGTCAAACCTCACAAATCCAAGTGCCATGGAATTGATGCAGCTGCTCAGGGATTCCTGCAGTGAGCACTTTCCTGCTTGGAGCATCACATCCAGGTTTTGCTGGGGAAAACCACAAAATCTCATGTCTAGAAAGCTGAGCTTTACTGATCTGCACATGGGAGCACCTGTTGCATGTGCTGCATGGACATTTGAGGGTGAAAAATATATATACACAAACACGGACACACACATATATGTATAAAATATATAAATATATATATAAGAACTGTGATAGGCTGAATGTAACCTTGCAATTACTTCAAAAACTGGCTTTTTTTCTCTAGATGGAGGCCAGTTAAAAACCCCACATCATCCATCCCAGCGGTTCAGATACTGCCATTATGTAACTGCAGATTCGAAAGAAGAGTATCCAGGAAGTCAGAACTAATTTACAATGTATCCCAGATCAGCTCTGTGATAAATAAAAATCTGATAAAATTTCAACATTTTATCGACTTGTCGTAGGTGTTTTGGGGGAAAAGGGTAAGAAACCTGCCATAAACGTGTGCCTGCACATACAGCCATGCACAGAAGATGTGCAGAACTCTTTGGTTCTGTCTCATTCCCATGAGTGCTGCAGTCACTTACTCCCAGGTAAGGAGAATCCTTGGATTTTTCACAGCTCAGTTTTGCCCTGTACTGATATGGATTGTCACATTGGATATTGTTGGGCAGTTCACCTCCTGTGTATTTAGCAGGCAGAGAAATCAAGTTTCAGGTAATTTTAGTTGCTTCATGTCTGCATTTCCCAGCCTCTGCAGCACTGGAATATTTAGATTGGCTGTAAAGACAATTTTTCTACTATAGCAGCTTCATGCACAGTTTTCATTGCCCATATTTTGACTTATTTTAAACTCATGTAAGATCCCAGCTGGCCAGACCCTTGTTGCACGTTCTGCACCTGGAAGTGGAGCAGTAAAGGGATCTTTGGTGAACTTTCTCCAAGAGATGACATTCTCTGGTCTGTCCTGTGGAAAAAGGCACTGCTCAGTACGTTTGTTTTTTCCCTCTTTTGTATTTTAAGGAAGAAAGAGAAAATCCCCCCAAGAGGAGTCGGATTGAGCGGGACATCGACAACAACTTGATCACCTCCACGCCCCAGACAGGAGAGAAGCCCAACAAGCAGCTCTCGCGCGTGCGGCGGAAAAGTCAGATGAACGGAGGTGGGTGAATGGCACGCTGTGCCCTGGGGACAGGCAGCTCTGCCACCTCAGCTGTGCACTGATCCCGGCCCTGCTGCAGCAGGGGAGCTTGCTGCAGGGAGAGCAGGGCTCAGCTGATGGCAGCCAGGCAGCATTTCCAGGGGTGAGCAGCACTTCCACCCCCCCAGAGGCTTCCACGGTGTCTCTGTGAGGGCAGTTTGGATCAGCAGCTGCTGCTTTGGGACTAATTTAACTTTTCTTTGTTTTAATTCTTATTCTGAAAGTCCCATCATAATTTGGTTTAGCTCTTCTCCCGTTTTCTCACAAATAAGAGGGAAGCATGACCTCCCAGCTCCGAATGTTTGTGGTAGTAAGCAGGTATCATTGGATGCTGAGAGCTCTTGTCAAACCCAGACAGGTTTCTGTCAGAGTTGTGAGATTGGAGTTGTGGCATGAGAGCTCACCCTTGTTACGTGTGAGATCTGGAGCGTGGGTGTTCATTTAGTTCTGTCCTGTGTTGTCTGTGACCACGCCTGTCCTTTCCCTTCCGAGTGGCCTCTGTGTGTGTGTGCAGAGGAACAAGTCGCGGGCTCTGGAGCAGCTGCAGGCGCAGCCAGGCACTTGTGACCCTTTCTCGTGCCTCCCTCTAGTGGAGTCCTGGCACTGGCAGCGCCGGGGCTGCCTCCACCAAATCGCTGCCAGGACTTACACCTCTGCTCTTGCTGGGAGCAGGGGCTGCTCCCCACCTGGAGAGGGGCTTCTGAGCCTGTTGGGAATGGACATTTTGGGTTTGTGCTGGCAGAAAGTTGCTGACCTCATGGACCCAGCTGAGCCATGAACAAGAGTACACCCCTAGAGAGCAAATGCTGGCCATAAGGGAACAGAGGCACCTGAAGCCCAGCTGGGTGGTGTTAAAACTCATGCTTTTTTCTTTTCCAGAAGCTGGAAGTTATGAGATGACGAACCAACACGTAAAGCAAAATGGAAAATTGGAAGATAACCCCGCCACAGGCAGTCCCCCACGAACAACATTACTGGGAACCATATTTTCTCCTGTTTTCAATTTTTTTTCACCAGCAAATAAAAATGGTGAGTATTATTTTAAAAGCTGATAGTCTGAGAGTGATAGAGTTTTGTATGAAATAGCTGCTTGGAGTGACGGTGCACTTTTCATTCTGGTTTACAAACCAAGAGTTGAAGCTGCCAGGCAGAAAGACTCCTTGATGGTTAGTGAAAGAAGCTTACAAACATTGGAACATTTCTTTCATAGGTGTATTTAGTGGTGCACCTTTCATTAAAAAAGAAAATAAGGAGAGGGAAGAACAAAGGGGTTACATTCCTTGTCCCAGACACATGTTAAAGTCATTGTCATGGTCTTCAGTTCAGTTTTTATTTTTGTGGCACGAATCTGTGCGGATATCTTTGATTATTCTGAGACTCGGTGTGTGTGTGGCTGGTAGCGAGTGTGAGCAGCGTGACGGGAGCTCAGCTGAGGGAAGGCTGTTGGGAAATGTCCCTCAGGAACGTCGGGCTCCGACTCCCCGGGCCAGGCCGTGGAGGCCGAGGAGATCGTGAAGCAGCTGGACATGGAGCAGGTGGACGAGATCACCACGAGCACGGCCACCTCCGCCAACGGCGCCGCCTTCCCGGGGCAGGCCGTGCAGGGCAGGGCCGTCAACAACGGCCTGGGCGACCCCGAGGAGCCGGGGGACCGCGACCTGCCCCCGCTCACGGGTAAGGGACCGGGCACGGGGACAGGGACACGGGCAGGGGCAGGGGCAGGGACAGGGACAGGGTGATCCCGGGGGCAGGGCCTCGGCAGGGACTCCTGTCCTTGGGTGAGGGACACGGACAGGGTGATCCTGGGGGCAGTGCTTCTGCAGGGACTCCTGTCCTTGGGTGAGGGACACGGACAGGGTGATCCTGGGGGCAGCACCTCATCAGGGACTCCTGTCCCATCTGTCCTTGGGTAAGGGACAGGGTGATCCTGGGGGCAGGGCCTCAGCAGGGACTCCTGTCCCATCTGTCCTTGGGTAAGGGACAGGGTGATCCTGAGGGGCAGTGCCTCGGCAGGGACTCCTGTCCCATCTGTCCTTGGGTGAGGGAAAGGGACAGGGTGATCCTGAGGGCAGTGCCTCGGCAGGGACTCCTGTGCCACCTGTCCTTGGGTAAGGGACAGGGACAGCAGAATGTGCCACAGGACAGGGACAGGGTGATCCTGAGGGCAGCACCTCGGCAGGGACTCCTGTGCCACCATTCCTTGGGTAAGGGGCAGGGACTGTGCCACAGGACAGGGACAGGGTGATCCCAGGGGGGACAGCACCTCATCAGGGACTCCTGTCCCATCTGTCCTTGGGTAAGGGACAGGGTGATCCTGGGGGCAGGGCCTCAGCAGGGACTCCTGTCCCATCTGTCCTTGGGTAAGGGACAGGGTGATCCTGGGGGCAGTGCCTCGGCAGGGGACTCCTGTGCCACCATTCCTTGGGTAAGGGGCAGGGACTGTGCCACAGGACAGGGACAGGGTGATCCCAGGGGGGACAGCACCTCAGCAGGGACTCCTGTCCCACCTGTCCTTGGGGCATGCAAACAGTGTTAATACTGATTTTTGTGGTTGGTAGGCAAATCTGGTTTAGGCACCAAAGACACAGTTTTGGCAGGATTTACCTGTTCCTGGTGTAACTCAGGTGGCCTCATAGATCTTCTTCCCCTGGAAGCAGAGATTCCAGAGGAAAGGAATTATTATTAACACTGAACTTGCACACTCTGGACTTGCTGATCTCCAAAGAGAAATTGGCTACATTTTGATGCCTTGTATTAGAAGCACATGGCAAATGAGAAACACATAGATCCTCCATTCATTTTCCATATTTTCTTCAGAAGACAACATCTTTTTTTGACAAAAATTCAGCTTCTGTGTGCGTGGGCAGCATCAAATCCTGAGCTAAGCCCTCCCCAGACCTCCAGGCTCTGGGAGATGAGCAGCCTTGCAGCAGGGGTGAATGTGAGCCCTGGGCAGGGCAGGTGGGGCTGGAGGGAGACTTTGCCACTGTTCCCCTGCCTCGTGTCTCGAGTGCATTGTCACTTTACAGAACTGCACTAATAAGACCAGCTCTTGTGGTTTTTTGTTTTATTTTTTGTTTTGGTCCTTTTTGTTGAATTTCAGCACCAGTATCTCCAGACAGTGGCTACTCATCAGCTCATGCAGAAGCCACCTATGAAGAGGACTGGGAAGTCTTTGATCCGTAAGTGCCAGTGTTTCTACTGGAAATAGTAAATTAATCATTTGGGGTATTGAATTAAGATACTTTTATTTAAATTGGATCATTTTCATGTTACAGTAATGAACTCTAAAAACTTTGAGCTTAAAGAAAAACCTGTGTATGCTCATGTGGGGTTTATTTCAATTTAAAATACTTACTTCTGGTGCCTTAAATATTTCAAATATTAAGTTGGGCTACAATGTTGCAGTTCAGTAGTTTACATTTTTACAGTCAAATCTGTATTCTTTTCAGATACTATTTCATCAAACACGTCCCCCCACTAACAGAAGAGCAGCTGAACAGGAAGCCAGCTCTCCCACTGAAAACCAGAAGCACACCAGAGTTCTCATTAGTTCTAGACTTGGTAAATATCTTTATAAACACAAACCAGAGCCGGGGAATGGAGCCTTTCCCTTATTTTGTTCATTGTGGAAATCAGTTATGCTTGCTTTAAACAAAGACTGCTGAATGTTGCATAATTTTAGTTAAAAATAGTTGAAAAAGAATTAATTGTGGTAGGAATAGAATGTGAGCTGTGTTTGTCAAATACTTAACATCCTGCTTAAAAAAAAAAAAGGCATTACAGTTTTAACATCTCAAACATTTATCTGTCCCCATAAAGCTTCCCTAAATCTAGGGTGGGGAAAATGAGGTGGAATAAGTAGGAAGATTCAGTTAGGAGTGTCTTTCATCAAGACTGATGAAAAATTAAACTTTTACTTTTTAGAACATTCTTAAAGGGCACAAATCCACTTTTTGAAAAGCTCTATATTTGTCTTCATGGTGATTTGTTTCAGTGTCTCTGTTTTGAAAGCTGTTTCAGACCCTGTTAGTGTGGTGGGGTTTTTTGAGCAGCACCAGCTGGGCCATCCCTGTGATCATAGGAATGAGTGAATTATTCACACTGAAAGATGCAGGCTGGGACTGAATGAGAGAAGAGCCTACAAAATAAAATATCTCCTTATAACTACACCCCCAGCACACAGTTTACTGAAACTTTTAAAGGATTGCAAGAATAATGAAATGTTTAATTCATCCTAAGAATTTTCTTCAATCTTGACAGCACTTGCACAAACGTACAGTTTCCATTCTAAATAAACCTGCTTTAAAATGAGCATAAAATGCAAAAAACTACTTCTGTTTTCCATGTTGTTTTTTCACACTCTTTTCTCTCTTTTATGTAACTTTTTCTCTAGGATGAAACATTAGTGCACTGTAGTCTAAATGAATTAGAAGATGCTGCACTCACTTTTCCAGTTCTTTTTCAAGATGTCATTTACCAGGTAAATAGAGAAACACAAACTTTTGGTTTTTGTTTTGTGGGATTCCTTGCTGTGTGCAGTTGTTCTCAGCTTGCTTGGAGAGGGAGAAGCAGCAGCCTGGCATTTCACACCTGTCTGGTGAGAAGCTGCAGGTGTCAGGTGTGGCAGGAAGTTTGGTGTTCACTACAGCTGTTCCCCTTCCAGCTCCTGCCCCTGAGCCCAAACCCTGTCTGGAGTCAGAGGGAGGCAGAACCTCCTGCCTGGGGCCCCTTGGGCTCCACAGTTCCTTACAGGGCATGGTTTCTCTGTGAGTGCAGTTCTGTGCTGGGGGTGGTTGAGTTTATGGAATTACAGAAACAGCTGAAGCCTTTTTTTAAATCACTCTGACATCCCCAGGCTCAGGTAGTTGTTGTTGGTTATTCAGAAGAGGATTTATTTCTTGTGTCCAGGGTTTGAGCTGGTGCTGCCCTGCTGGTGAGACTCAGGGTGTTTGGTCAAAGCAACCAGTTTCATTTTTAACCTAGAGATCATACAACTTCTGTATTTTATTCATTTTTTTCCTAATTCCATCCAATTTTCCATCAGAATATTCAGGCTGGTGTTAGTGTGTCAGTGCTCCCTCTGAGCTGCTCAGGCTGGCACTGCTGGAGCACTGGTGTCCCTGGGGTGCTGTTGCACAGGAGGCTGATCCTTGCTCTTTGGTTGTCTGTGATGCTGACCTGGTGGGCCTGGTGGGAGGATGCAGGCTGCCCGTGGTGGTGCAGGCTTCATTTCAGCTCTTGAATTCCTTGTCTCTTCTTATGATCTATTTTAGAGCACTTTACTGTGAATAGAAAATTTATATGACATGAGGTTGAATAGGAGGCTGTACATATTTATGTATTTAATTTTCTGTTAATGTATTGAACCTTAATACATATATTTCATGGCATTTGTAGGAAATAATGCACTTTATTTTTTCAGTGCAGAAACAGAAAGTATTCCTTTGACTGCATTCAAGAGCTGAAGTGATTTTTGCAGAGGGGCAGGGTGGGCATGGAGGGAGGGTGGAGGCTGGTGCAGCCCCTCTGGGGTGCTGCCCCGTTGCTGCAGCCCCTCTGGGTGCTGCCCCGCTGCTGCAGCCCCTCTGGGGTGCTGCCCTGTTGCTGAAGCCCCTCTGGGTGCTGTCCCTGTCCCTGCAGCCCCCCTGGGTGCTGCCCCGTGGCTGAAGCCCCTCTGTGGGGTGCTGCCCCGTTGCTGCAGCCCCCCTGGGTGCTGTCCCTGTCCCTGCAGCCCCCCTGGGTGCTGCCCCGTGGCTGAAGCCCCTCTCTGTGCAGGTGTACGTGCGGCTAAGGCCGTTCTTCCGAGAGTTCCTGGAGCGCATGTCTCAGATCTACGAGGTAAGACCTGCACCCTCCAGTGCTCCCTCTTTTGCTTTCCAGCTGTCAGACCCTTTTCCCTCACACTGAACAACAATTTATCAGATTAAACCCTTTTCTAAATGAAAAATAAAACAACTAAAAAGCATCTTTAAAACTTTTATTCTGTTCTCAATCTCATATAAAAAGTAAAATAATACAAATGTTATAATTCACACTATTACAATCACAAACTATTTCCTAATTACAATAACTTTGAACATTCCTTAACCTATCAACTTTAACCATACCATACTATAAATACCTTAAAACCAATCATCTAAAATTACCCCTATTTTGGAGAAATTCTATTTCTGCAAAATGTCTGATCTTATTTATCTTTGTAAATAAGGTTGCTTATTTACAAAACCACCTTTTAAAACTTATTTCTAATTCCATTTCTCTCATAACAATATCTATCCTATTCCATAACATTTCTAAGCAAACATTTCTTATCTCAAAGTTTACATACAAATACACACTATATGAAGCTTCGATCAAACTTAAAAAATTTTCTACAAATTCATTTCCCATTTAAATTGCACCTTTAAATTCAATTTTTAAATTGTATCCACTTCCTGGTACTTCCAGTGGTGACTTTTTTCCCCTCCAATCCCCAGATCATTCTGTTTACTGCTTCTAAGAAGGTGTATGCAGACAAGTTGTTGAACATCCTGGACCCCAAAAAGCAGCTGGTCAGGTAAAAGCAGAACAGTGTCGTGGGCAAATCGAGTCCTGTGCCTGCCCAGAGGGGTGGGACCTGTTCGTGGCACCCCTGACTGATCCCTTGGGGGTTTGCCTGGGCTAGGAGAGGGAGAAAAATGGACTGAAGTGATGGTATTGGTGCCTGTGATTAAATAACCCCAGGCCAAAACCTGTCCCTGATTAGTCTCTGTGAGGTTGGCTCATGGGAAATGACCTCTTGGGGATCAGAAATCTGCTCTGGAATACCCACTGCAAATAAAGGAAATTAAATGAGTGCCTGATTACTTCTAAACTTAACTTAATCACTTGAGTTATTTATTACAAATTGTGGCTTGTATAGCTTTTGCAATCAGCATGCTTTTAATTCTCATTCAATCACAAAGTCATTTGTCTGTTGGTTTGTATTGGAGCTGGTTTGGTTTTTCATTTCTCAGTACTGAGCTTTGCTGGGAGGTGTTTGGCTTTTCCAGTTCCTCAGGGCAGAAGGCAATTCCAGGGGTGGGATTCTGTCGCTCTCACCTGGCAGGGGGACTGTACCTGGCAGTGCTGGACCCAGATTGATTTCTGCTCAGGTGTGGGGTGCCAGAGGATGGTGCCCAGGAGGGCGCTGGCACCCCAGGGCAGGGTGTGGGGCTGTGTCCTTGTATCACAGCCTCTGCAGACCCCTGATCCAGCTGCAGGGCTGTGAGTGGCCCTGGGGCAGGGCAGAGCCCAAGCAGCAGGCAGGCTGGGGAGCCTGCAGAGGTGTTCTGTGCTGCCTGCCTCTGGCTGGGGCTGCCGGGCTGGGCCCAGCTCTGCCACCAGCCCCAGCTGCCTGCCAGGCCCCACACGTGTGACTCACACTCTATATATAAATGCAGCAGCTCCTTTCCCTCCATGGCAACGTGGGGAGCTCAGCTCCTGCATGGAGTTAGGCACACTGTGCAGCTCTGAGCACTCAGTTAAACACAGGCAGCTGAAGGGGCTGCTCTGCACTGGGGCTGGGCAGCACCACGCCTGCCTGCTTTGCAGTTTATAGTTCCGTGGATATGCCATGGGATGGGAGGTTTATTCCTGCTGGCTTTTCAGTCGGAGTCCTTTCAGTCCATCCCTCCATTCCTTCTGGCATGAATTACACAGGAGCAGGCTGATGGCAGAGGAAGGAGGTGATGGGATGTTTTGGCCCCAATGGGAAAGGCAGGAGGTGATGGGATGTTTTGGCCCCAATGGGAAAGGCAGGAGGTGATGGGATGTTTTGGCCCCAAGGCCTTTTTTTGAGGTGTAATGACTGGAATAGGTTAATTGCCAGCAGAGGTGCAACAGGAAAGGAATCATTCCTTGTGACACTTTGTGTTCTGTGAGGTGGTACAGGAGGCCCCGTTCTGGGAGGGCTGGGACAGAATAAAGGGATAAAAAACCCCAAAAACTTGGCTCTGTGCAGCACCTGGAGCTTGCAGATCCTTGGGGTGTTCTTGGGTCCCTTCCTCAGCCTGTCTGGGAGCAGGGTCAGAAAGAGGAGCCTGAATCAATACAAACACCCACCTCAGAACTGGGTTAGTGCAAAGTCACCTGACCTGGACATTTTACCAGTAAAAAGCTCTGAAGAGAACAGAAAAAGGCTGCAGTTCTCTAACAGGAGATGGCAAGAGAAAGCAATTGGATAATGCTTGGCAAAGCTGGTGCAGTGTGGATGTAGTCCTTGGCCTCAGTAATGAGTATTGTCCCTTACTGACAGGCATCGACTCTTCCGTGAGCATTGTGTGTGTGTACAGGGGAATTACATCAAGGATTTAAACATCCTGGGCAGAGACCTCTCCAAAACCATCATCATTGACAATTCACCGCAAGCCTTTGCTTACCAGGTGAGGGGCTGGGGCAGGGGACACCTCGGGGGGCACAGCTTCCTGAGGGGGCAGGGAAATGTAAGTTTGGGGCTTGCTATGGAAGTCTGCAAACCAAACTGTGGGAAAAACACTCAGGAATCTGTGGCTTGGAAACAGTTTTCCCTCAAATGCTATTTCACAAGTCTTATTTGTAGATAAATTAAATATAAATTGTGTGTTGATTTTTTTTTTCATATTTTAACTTCAGCTTTCCAATGGAATTCCTATAGAAAGCTGGTTCATGGATAAAAATGATAATGAACTCCTAAAGTTGATTCCATTTCTGGAGAAACTAGTAGAGCTGGTAAGTGTTTGCTTTCCTGGCTTTTCCCAGAAGTGTCAGTGAGTTCCTTTAATATTTTCACCTATTGTTAAGGGTTTCTGAGTCACTGAGGTTGAGGCTGGTGAAGATCCAGGGACGTGTTTGCACAGCACAAGGGGGCTTGTCACTGCTGACTGTGCTGAAAGTGCAGGGCTGTGGGATTGTGACATCAGTCCTCAGGAAACTGGGAACCCCTGAGCACTTAGTGCCACAGTGCCTGGTGCTGGCTGTGCTGTGTGTCTGTGTTCCTGGAATCACTCCTGAGCTCCTGTGGGTGCTGTGGGGTTACTTCTGTAAGCCCCTGGAGTGGCACAGTCTGTTTGTTCTGTTCAGAGAGGGTGTCAGCCCTGCTGCAGAGGGTTCTGGCTGTGTTCATGCTCCTAAACCTGCCCTTTCCCCCACAGAACGAAGACGTCCGACCTCACATCAGAGACAGATTTCGCTTGCATGACTTGCTACCCCCCGATTAAAGCTGTGCTCTCGCTGCGAGGGGAGGAAATGCAGGACCCTGTTGGACTAATACAAAACATTGCCATTACTGTTGAAATTTTGCATTTTTGTACCCCGTCTTGCTTTTCTTATCTTTGGTGCCCAACAATGATCAAGGGTTACAGAAAGAGACTTTCTACACCTGAGGTTGCCGCCATCAGTACAATCCAGTACCCGCAGTAGGGAGGCTAGAACAGAGAAGTCTTTAGAACTAGTGCAACTCCAAGGAAATTTTTTATGTACAGGACATCTGCAGTTTATAAAGAAAATTCTGTTTCTGCCACCAGCAGTTTGACCTGTAGAAACACAGGATTTTATGATACAACAGAGATTGAAAACGGACTCGGATTTTCTCTCTGTTCGGTGCTCTAAGTGGGTTTGTAGCCACTTTTCTGTTACTTTTAAGATTCTCATTTCAACAGGAATGGCCAGTAAAAGTTGTTTTATTTTTCCTGTTAAGGTTTATAACCTTTTTACATTTTTGACCTGTATTAGATTAGAATTTCATTATGCATTCCTTTTAGTTGAGGCGCTTCATAGTTTTTCTGGAAATAGCCAAATTTTGTTAGTTTTTTATTAAACAGTTGGCTGGCCGTTTCCCTGCTTTGTCTGCCTGCATCCTGTATATTTGTTTAAAAATATTCTCTAGTTTTAGCCCACGTAAGTTTCATTTAGAAAGAAAAACAAAAAAAAAGAAACCCTGCATTTATATTTTCTTTCTGTAATATTCTACTGTAGTCGAAACCTTTTCAAAAATCAAGAGACTGGCTAGATAAGACGAAGACAAGAGTGACTAATATTGGGAATATCCTAAACCATTGCGATGGCACGTCCTCTGGACAGAGCAGAGCTGGCAGTGGCACCACGATGGACAAGGAATACCTCACCTCTGCTGTGCCCGGCCGGGCAGGACGGGCTCCTGCGACACTCCTGCTTCCAGCAGCCTCTGGGGCAGGGCTGCCTGCCATCCCACTGGTTCCGAGGGACGCCCGGCCCTGGCTCCTAATGCAGCGCCCCGGAGGGGATGTTTTGTAGCGGTGGGAGCCGCCTTTCCCGGAGGCTCTCCCTGGAAGGTAGGGTTTGTACGAGTTAGGAAGCTTTGCCTCTCGACTGCATTACCACGCCACAGGCTCGGACTGGTTTTGTGTAAAAGATGTCACAGAACGGCACTTTTTCTAAAGAGAAGTTTGCTATTTTGTATGCTTGATAAGAAAGTACAGTATTGGAAATTAAAGGTGGACAGCTGATAATTGAGAAGTATGTCAATTAATTTTTTATGTATATTACCTGTTTACTTGTACAATTTTATTGTACAAATTACATGCAGCTTCATTTTCAAATGAGTCCTTAAAATAAGGAAAATCTTTTTAGCAAAACATTTAATTTTTGTATTTTTGATTTTAAAAGGCATGAGTTATGTCAACTTTTTCCAGTGTATTAATGAAGATTTTAACTTTTCATCAGGTTGAGTGTTTTCTTACTATATTATCTGTTGTGTATGTAGCTAGCACATGGTGTCACTGAACTGTTAAAACTTAGCATGTAGAGCAAGCCTGTTTTGTGGAAAATCCTTATTCATTAAAAACAAAATCATCATGGCAGATTTTCTGCAAAAAAACTGAAAACATTTGCAATTCAGAATACTGATTTTTTTTGTATTTAAAGAAAGGTATTTTGCTTGCAGGAAAGAAATACTACAGATTCATTTTAATGAGAATCTTTTAAATGTATTTATCTTTAGGGCATCTGGGCATCTTTACGCTGTTTGTCTTATGTCTTTATTGAAATAAAATGTACAGAACATTACCTTTCCATCTGCTTGGTGCAGCCGTGTCCCCTGGGCTGATGGAGAGATGGAGGATGGACTCTGGAAGGGAGGGCCAGCTTGTGTGCAGCTGCCCCTTGCTTTGCAGCCGTCCTTGCTCCTTCCTTGCCGTGTAAACCCGAGTCTGAGGGCTTGCAGTTCCCTGGTGAAGCTCTGCCTCACGGGGCATTCCTCCCAGTTTCTCCACACCACAGAGCTGCTGTGAAACTCCCGGATCTGCCAGAGGAGCCCAGCTTTAGCCCGTGGCCTTCTCCAGCTGTGGTGGGATGTCCAGCTGTTCCAGTCACATCCCCAGGCCCTCTGTGGCCCCAGCCGTTCCTGAAGTGCTTCCAGAGCTGAGGAAACCAAAGGCATGTTGCACTTTCCAGCTGTGTCTGTGTCGTGCCCATCAGATCCGCGAGGGAGAGCCGGCTGGGAAGGAGGGGATGTACTTCTGCATCGTGCACAGCGGGACTGACAGAGGTTCTTAGTAAACACATTCAGTATTCACATCTTCTGTGCTGCAAGCCTGGTGTGTCTCACTGAACGCTGCACAGTGCTGCTGCCTCCTGCCAACCTCTCAGAGTTTTCATCCGCAGGTTTTATTTCTGTGATCATCTCCGGGGCAGTTCCCGTTCCTGTGCCGAGCTCTGGGTCAGGTTGTGTCCCCAAAGCCCCCTGTGCCCGGGCAGGCTCAGCCAGTGTGAGCCCCCCAGCAGGGCACCCTGCAGGATCCCTGATTCCTTATGGAGGATGGTTTTGTCCTTGTGGAAAGCACCACGTCCTGATTCCAGAGCTCTGAATGATTCCCTCTGTGGTCTGTGCTGGGTTGTTTTCCCGTTTTCCCCCTGGATTCTGTTCCGTGTTGGAGCCCCTGGGTGCTGGCAGCCCAGTCACACCTCGCAGCCCTTCGGTGGCAGTGCCTGTTCAGCCTTTGTTTCCCTGGAGTGACCCTCGGTGCTCTGCCTCCCCACCTTGGATTCCCCCCGCCTGACAACTCCAGTGCTTTTGAACGAAGCAGGAAGGCTGGCTGTGCCCGGACTGCATTGGGAATCTCCCAAACCGTCAGTGGAGGCACGGATGGGATTTGGGAAGAGCCCTGGAATGTGGAACCGACCCTGCCAGGGTGACAAGAGCCCTGCACAGCAGCAGGAGGAGTTCTTGTTCTTGGTACTTGCACAAATGTCATTGTACTGATGGGGCCGAACCTTGTAAAATATGATGGAAGAGAAGTCCTGTGCTATGGACTTCTGTTTCTTCTGCAATCATTTCCAGTCTACAAAAGCACAAAGGTTTAATTAAATACTTACGCTCTGGATTCTGTTTTTATCATTTTTAGCTGATAGCATCCTTCACTGAGCCTCAGTTTTCTGTAAGACTGATCCTGTCAGTTCTCAGCCTTGAAGCGGAAGTCGTGTCTGTGTTTTACTGTCAAGGAAAAATTTAAATGTTCTGTGTAAATCCTCAGCATTCCAAATTACATATTCCAATATTAACATATTCCAAATGACTGCACAATTCCTGGCCATTTTGTGATTATCTCCACAGCACCTGAGGCTGTGAAACAGTAGTCTTGGTGAGGATATACTTGTGACATTGTTGGATCCGTAGGTACAGCTCTGTTACTATTTATATTGTCTGGTAAATGGGGAAGAACAGGAAAAGGATGATAAATTTGGAAGTCTCTATTTTTCCTTTGTGTTTTTCCCAGACACGTGATTTATACAGGTGTACACAGAGCTCATTATTTGCTTTATGAAAGACACGTTTTAAATTTATTATCTTCAGCCAGAATCTGTCCTCCTTTTCCGCTTCCCGGGTTCTCCCAGAAGCTGGGAGCTGGCAGAACTGAACAATCCAACGGTTCTGTGTGCCGTGCTCAGCACGGAGGGGAAGGACAGCCGCCGTGCCGAGCCGTGCCGGGATCGTGCCCGGGGCACGGCCGGTCCCGGGGCCAGCCCGGCTCCGCTGGGCTCCGCTCCGGGCTGGGCGAGCGACGGGCCCGGGGCGGTGCCGCGGCTGCGGGGCCCGGGCCCGCTCCGGGTCCAGATCCCGTTCCCGATCTCGATCCCGTTCCCGATCTCGATCGTTCCCAATCCTATTCCCGACCCCGTTTCCGAACCCGTTCCCATTCCCGTTCCCAATCCCTTTCTTGTTCCCGATCCCGGTCCCGGTCCCGTTCCCGATCCTGTTCCTGTTCCCATTCCGTCCCCATTCCCGTTTCCCATCCCGATCCCGTTCCCAATCCCATTCCCGTTCCCATCCCGATCCCGTTCCCGCCCTGTTCCCATCCCGATCCCGTTCCCGTTCCCATTCCCGTTCCCATTCCCGATCCCGATCCCTTTCCAGTTCCCATTCCCAATCCCATTCCCGGTCCCGTTCCCGATCCTGGCCCCGCCCCCTCTCGCTCCCGTTCCCGCCCCGTTCCCGCGCAGCGCTCAGGCTCCTCTCCCCACAGACGCCGACAGCTTCGAGGTGGTGGAGCCGGTGGCGAAGCGGCTGGTGCCGGGGGTGGCCGGGGACCGCTGGGCCGGCGAGGATGAGGAGGACGACGTGAAGGTGCGGCCGGGCGGGCCCCGCCGGGACCCCGCGGCTGCGGGGCCCGCTGGGGGCTCGGGGGCGGGC